TATATATATATATATATATATATATATATATTGTTATTTCAATTAATATAAAATATGTTCATTTAAAATTTTAAGAATTATAATTATATATTATTGATATCTCATTCATTGTAATTTGTTTTTTTCCTTTTATATTATTAACCACAATACGGTATTACCTTTTCTAATAATAAAAGAAAATAATTTAATTAATATTTAAAATTAAATTAAATTAAATCTCTTTATTTGTAATAATCATTTTTGATTTTTTATTATTATTTCTCTTTTTCTATTTTTCTTTTTTTACATTATTATTACATTAATACGCGATATTAATGTAGAATATTATACATCATCACCTATATATAGTGAGATTTACACACAAAAAGGATAATATTAAATTAATTTTCCTTTCGAATATAATCATATTATAAAATTTAAAATTTAATAAATATTAACACTGAATTATGCGGCGATCCTCACTTCTTAAAATTAAACATAGAAAATATTTAAAATATATTGTTTAAATTTGATAAATAATAAAGAAATCTGAAAATTCTCAAACAATAAAATCTTAAAATATTTTTTAAAAATATCAATGATCTGATCATATTATAAATCTATTGTAATAATAAATTCTAAAACCAAAAATTAAAAGAAAAGTTATATTATTACATTAGATTTTAAAAATATTATATTATCGTATATATAAATGTATTATAAATATTAAAGACATATTAATCTTATTAATATTGCTATTATATTATTATCATATGTCTTTATTGTAATTTTTTTCACATACCTGTAAAAGAGCTACATCGTAATCAATAGTTTTAGAATTGTAATTAGGATGTACTATGACTCTTTTTACGGTGTAACGAGTGCCTTGATCTTTATAGTTACTACCTGCTCGTAGACTGTATCGACTGGCTGATGATCTGTAATTGACGAAACATCAAAATGCCAATGATTCCAAGTATTTTCTGTACACGTTTTCTGCATACACGGGAATGCATATTATTTGTTTTAATAATAAATATGTGCATCGTGTTTAACGATCTTATTATTATTACATAATGGAAATCGGGATGGAATGCGAGCCGCAAAGCCAATTTAATATCGCGATAATTTTCATAATTATAATCGTGAATCAATGAACATTCCGATCAGTAGATCCAATGTATATGATATCTAACGAGATTCGAAAAAGAGTTTCAATTCGAAAAATGATTATAAAAGTTTAACATGTCACAATTATAATAAAATTTTGAAACAATATAATCATCGAAAATTAATTTTCGAATCGTCGATCAAAGGTCATTTTTGACTCGTATTTGAGTTATAGATGTCATTTGTATCGTCAGAAACAAAAATGGCCGAATAAGAGTTAACACTGTCAAAAGTATTTTCCTTGTACAGAATGCAAATAATTGCTCATAAGAGAATTTTGAATTCTGAATTATTTTAATTTTTCCAATAACAATGTTGTGTTATTCTTTTATAAAATTCTATTTTTCACCGAATCAATTTTCTCTTTTTTATAAATATTCCGATCTTATAAAGTAACGAAAGTAAAATTTATTATTTATAAATAGAATTTCATAAAATTATAATATTGAACAAGATCTCGTTGCTTCTCAAATAAACTTTGACTTTTGAATTTAATGATGAATGAATTTTAGTACGAAGTATCGATTTGTGTCGATGAACGACAAGAGATTAACACAGAAAATGTTAAATTTCATCAAAAAGTTCGTTAAACATAATGAAAAAGCTTAGAGTTGAGGTCACTAAATTTCGATCAAAAGATCTGTACACCAGTAAAGTAAAGTAAAATGATAAATATTCACTGATTCACAAGTTGCTTAGCACAAACTGTTAACTTTTCATATTTGTTATTACGTTACACAATGGGCTGCAGTGATGACCCATTGAGAACTGATCACTGAAGCACCGCAAATGTGTCCTGTAGTTTGTAAACTCAGTTGGTGAGCATACTGACTTATCTCAGCCTCAGTACCTCCGACGATTTGAGGATCCGGAATAAGTAAATGGAATCCTATTAAATTAATACAATAAGATACATGAGACTTCTGGTATCGATCGATCGTTTCAAAATCGTTAAACAAAAATGTTTCAGGAAAACGGTCTTAAAATTTCGAAATTTAACAATTTATTCTTTTCTATTTCAACCCTTCGTTACACACAACAATTATATGTATTTCCACATATTAAAAAGAATATATTTTCGTTATAAAGTTTATGATATTAAATTAATACGTATAAAATAAAGAAAACATGTGATATTTTTTCAAAACATTTCTAAAATTTCAATTCAATGTTTAATTTTAATCATGCTCGCGTTGTATAGTATTTCTTTTAAAATCACAAGTTATAATAAAAATCGGAATAGAATTGTAGAATTTATACAATGAATTAATATTCTATAAAAAATTATCGATATTTTAAACTATTACAAAAAAATATCGTACGATCTTATTTTAAATAAAATATCGAATCAGTCATATTTTAAATTGTAAAATTTTTACCTTCGTAAGTTTGAATTCGATTTTTTCAAAGATATTTTTATATCATGTAATAAATAGAAAAGATATTTTTCTTTATAAAAACTTGAAAAACATTGAAAAATTATTTTCATGATTGAATCTACAAGAAAATTTAAATCTTAGATCTTCTCTTTGTAATGATCTTTCAAAACGTACGATTCTTTTCCCCAAGTTTTTACTGAACTTTGAATATTAGAATTGAACAACGAAAATTCAAGAAAACGTAAAATTTTTAGTTAATGTTCTTTACTTTTAAGTAATATTTTTCGACGATCGTATAGAAGAAATAAAGAATTCCTTTTACTTTTACTCACCGAGACAGCTAGTAATGAAAACACTAAGATTGAAGATTAAAAAAAGATTGAAAGAAGAAAAATCTTTCAAAAACATATTTGAAATTCAATATGTTTTCTGTTTTTAGACAATAAACAAATTATTTTCTTTTATTTATTTTCTTTTATTTTTCTTCCTTTTCACACAATAAAAGTTCAAGAAATAAAGAATGCACAGAAGAGTGCAGATTTTATAGCAAACGATATCGCTAAATAAGAGATGTCTGATAAAAGGCATCTGACGCAGAAATATGATAGGATTTTTTTTAATGTTTCTCTCGATAAGGAATTTTTAATGATTTCGCTAGAATGTACGCTTATATGCGTTTTCTTACGAGCTTTTTTTTGCTGAAAAAATTAAAATTAAAATTGAAATTGATAGAAAATTTTCCTTCTGTTTTTTTATCCTTCCTTTTTTTTTTTCATAAGTTATAAATTAGAAACTAATTATCTAACGAACAAGAAGAGATATAAAAAAGAGATTTTATTTTTATCTTTCGTTATTTTTAATAAATTTCAAAAAATTTTTTAAAAATTTCAAGTTTTGAAGTTTCTAATATGTTTATTTGAAATATTTTCCATTATCTTATATTAGAATCTTATATTATATTAGATTCTTTTAGAATTATACTTTTAATATGAATTGAATTGATATGAATATATGATAAAAATATATTTTAGTAAAATAAGAAGAGAAAGAAAACTATAGATATTGGATAAAAATTATGTGAAATCAAATAAAGAAATATTAATAGATTTATACAAATGTCTTTGTTAATATAATCTACGTATATTCATATATTATAGAAAGAGTTTATTCCATCTGAATTAACGCAAAATTCAATATTAAATTTTTCTTTTTAACCCTTCACGATGAACTTTCGTTACGAATCTCTTACTTGTATGTCAAAGAGAACGTGTGAACATCAAACGGTTTCATGCTCTCGAAACAGATTAAAGTGATCCTACTTCAACAAACTGAAGTGCAACTTTAATTTAAAGCGAGTTTTGACTTTGATGTAGATATATATCGTGTATGTCTTTTCCCTTTGTTTCCTTTATAATTATTTCTTTTTAGTAATCTATGAATATGCATCGATAAAATAACGAATAAATCGCTCGTAATCAAAAAACCAAGTTATATTTTAATTAAAAAGAAAGCTATATTATTAGTAATATCGATGATTAAAATTCTTAAAAATCTATAATTTCTTGTTGGAAAGACTTTTTTTAAAACTCTGCTCTATAATAATATCATTAATGTATTTAAAAAAATAGAATAATTATACACAATAATTATATAATATAATATAATAAATTATATAATATATAATATTATATATAATATATAATATAATATATAATATAAAATTATATAATTATATAATATAATAATATAATTCAAGGTATTATATTCAAAAAGATCCATTCTATCTTTATGAATATAACTAATTACAAGAGAATGCAAGAGAATCAAAATAAATACATGTTAATTTTTTGCGATGATTTTAAAAAAATTAATCCTTCGATAATTTATTAGAACGATTAATTATTCTAAATCTTCTTCAAACATCAGTCTAATTCGTCTAAATTTACAATCGTAACTGTTCTCATTGCATATTATTAGCAACCAGGGACCGATCGCCCGTTTGCGACCGATCGTTAGAATTTGAAGGCTAATTGCACACGTTGATTTACACATTTTGTCAGCAAATATATTGATCGCTTCTCCCGCGATTAAACATCGAGAATTTCCGTATCAGGATTCAAATGGAATAAAGGGGAACCGTGTCACACCGGTGGGTATTAGTTCGTAACAATTCTAAAAGTCAATTGTATAATTTGTCCACAGGGGGAACTTTGTTTCTCACTTTGTCTTGTTAAATCCCGAATTGCGAATTCGAGCGAAATTACTTATGTTTTTTCATTAATCATCTCGTGTATCCATCGTTACATTTTTTTTCCTCGATGAAACATCAATTACATCGATTTCAACATTTCTTAGAGATAAAAATCGCATTGATTCACCAATATTGGCTGGCACATCGATCTCATTCGTTGTATTTTATTTCGTTTCGATAAAAAAAAAACATTGATTTCAACATTTTCGCGGATAAAAGTCTGGATGGATTGCAATAAAAATAGATAGTCTTTGTTTCGGAATATTTTAACCAATTGTTTTTACAATGTTTCAAAGTTTCGACTAGATTATATCAACTCTATCTCAGGATTCTTAAGGGTTAATTTTAGCTTTCTATCTCTCTAACATCTTTTACACCATCTTTTCTTCTTATCTACTACTGAAACACCGAACGTAATTATCGTTCATTACATTTCCACAGGTGTTCCGTGTCTAGTCCACCAGATTTAATTATCATAATGGTATCCAAGAGAAGGAGCAAAACGAACGGATCTATATTTCTCTTAGAAGCTTATCCTTATCCTTATTTTCGAGAAAAAATAGATTTTTCTTTTATTAATCGATCAAAGATATATCAATCATAAAGATTTTATTTATAACACGCGTGATATAATAATATGTTTTGCAAGCGAGAACAACTAATATCGAATGATTGTATCTCTCTTAATCCTTTAATTATATCATTAATTATGTATTTTTTTAATCTTTCGTTAATGATATCCAAATTTTTTTATTGAATAATAATGAGCAATAATAAGATTTGTTTAATGTTATCGCAATAATTGATCATCATATATTATATGATCATATATATATATATATATTAAAGAAAATAATAATATATATATATATTAAAGAAAAACGAAAGATTTCCTTTTTCTTTAATTACAATTTTGAAATTGACCGATCGATTTAGATTATGATTATAATTATTTTTTAATATTATTTAAAATAATGAATGTTTATGGAAAGAGTTGTAGTACAAATAGAAATTTAAAAATTACAAATTTGACAAAACTACATTAGTTTGATCAAATAGATATACAAAAAATTAAAATTAAATTAAAAATTTTTTAAATATTTCAAGTTGATAATCCTAGTTCAATCAAGAGATTTTTACAATTTTATGATTAGATAAAATATGTTCTTTGTTGAAAAATATGTTGTATTATATAATTAAAGATAAGATTGTATAAATAAAGATCCATTTTATACGATGAATATTTTGTTCAAAAAATCTATTAAGCAGAAAAATTTTCTAAGAAGAATAAGTTTCTAAGAACAACAAGATTAACAGATTCTAAGAACAACAAGATTAACAGATTCTAAGAAAAACAAGATTAACAGATTCTAAGAAGAACAAATATTTTCTTCTGTTAATGGGATTGGAAAATATAATAATAAATTAAATTCGTTTGATTTCTTTGATTGTTCTCGCCTCATCTCATTAACCACCCAACAAGTGAAAAGGAAAAGGAAAATTAGGAAAATTAGTTTTCAACAATGGCGACCGAGCAATTTTCGAATTCCGCCCGGAAGCTCGATCACTTCCCCCATTGACGTTTCGATCGTGAAAACTTTTAATCCGTAAAGAGAAAGGAATCGCGCGAATCTCTCATAGCTTTACCAGCAAAGATTCCATCGACATCGTCTGGTTCATTGCTAATTAATTAGTTTTCGATCAAACCGACTTTCGAATGGATGATCCGGTTTCTCTCTTCTTTTCTTTTTTCTTTCCTTTTTTCCCCTCCTCTCCTTCACTGATAACCCCTCTTAATCCGCGGTGGAACTTCCCTAATAGAAATTCTTGCTGCGATTATTTCGCCGATGGAACGAGTTAAAAGCCAGACTTACGGTCGAGCGGAACGGGTCGCGCGTCTACCGGAAACGGAACGAAGAGACGAGGGATGTTCGGCCTTTAAGGAAACACTTTGGAAAGTTTGCGTTGAAAGCAGAAGTAGCTGGTTGAGATGGTTCTTAGTTGCTTTTGCTACGTTTGTTTTTAGAGCGCGTTTCACCAGGCGGTTGAGAACTGTTGAGTGGTGGGCTTAGAGACTTCCTACTTTTGGTGATTTTGATACTTGCTTGTTTACCGATCGCTTTACTTAAGATAATATCTAATTTAATCGTAATCGTGATTGGAATGGTGCATACACTTTTTAAATATTCGTATTTAATCAGTAATTGTTCATGTTTGCTTGATTTTCGTGATCGATGAAGTTACGTGAAAATGTATTTCTTGTACGAATATTTATTTCATTGTATGTTTCTATAAATAGATTAATTGTTTTTAAAATTGTAGTAAGAAAAAATCAGAAAGTTTCAAAAATAAAATAAAACAGATAAAGTAAAATCAGATATACTTGAAAACAAAATAATACGTACGATATTAAATGCATATCACTTGATAAAACTTTTCTTCTCCAAAAACTTATTTTTAACATAAAAATATCTTGCTCCAATTTTAGTAATACGAATATAGCATTATTAAAGTAACTCAAAAACTCAATGAAGCTATTTATAGATTTAATTTCTTCTTTTTTTAATCTAAATTATAAAGGCAATCTTTTAATATTAAAAAGTTAAAAGAAACGTTAGATTAGATTAGAAAAAAAAAAGAAATAAAGTGATATTTTTTTTAATTTTGATTTCAACGAAGCTGAACGCGTCAAAATCCCACTAAATATATTCTCCATGGAGGAAATGGATTTGGCTTGCTCGCATAGCAATATCTTTAAGATTTAGCAAACCGTGCCGGATCAAATGTAATACCACGACTGCACGACAGCAGGCAGCGTTGTCTACTTATACGCCATATTTCGAGGATTGTTACGACGGGGTGAAAGAGTAGCACGACAGGCTGTGCGCTCGCCGACATCGGCCGCCATCGTCGATTAACATATAAATCAAATCTCCGCCAGTGCAGGGAATCCACCCTTCCAACCATCCTCGACCAACCATCCTGCCCACCCCTCCCCTCCCTCTGCCGGATTTTGCTGATCCTGCGTAAGATACGTGTCCCCGCCAGCCTGTGCTCATCCTTGGGAATCGCGTGCAACTTTCGTTCCACTCGTTGAGAACCCGAGACCAGTCCCGATACACCAACCTCCCCAAAACTTCTCTGAGATTCTCGTTGCCCTGATTGAATATGTCACGGGGAGGAAACCAACTGTCTGTCAAGGAATCGAAGCGACTTTCGCGCGAAACTTCTTTCGAGCAACTTATCTTGTGTC